GCGCGCGCCCAAGAGGATGACGAAGTTTGAAAATGGAATAAAGCTCTGTAGATTCTCTAGTTTGTTTGGTGTAATTACACACAGTTTTCAGTATTTGATCATCTGTGTTATATTTCAATTACAGATTGTAACAAATACTGTCCTCACCCAACTTCTATAATAAGTAAACTCATTACATCTTTTTGCTTTACCATCTAATAAACTCACTTCTGCTTTAGCACACAATTTTCTGTATCGTTTTGTTTACTGTGTTCTGTAACAATTTTGATTATTTTCACTATATGCTACAGTTTCTGCAATAAAACAGCCACCTCCTGAAATGTGCAGTTATCTTTTCACCTGCTTATACCTATTTGTTTATAATCTATTTATTAGAGGACATGCAGCGGTCAAGAGTATCTTACTTTCAGTTTATGACATACCCGTGTGCCAAGTGTAGGCAGTCGTGTAATCATATTTGATAGTTTGATCGGTAATCATTCTGCCATGGCTCTGTACAGCAGTGAGTCATTAAGCAGGCTTGACCGGGCTCAAGCAGCCAGTAGTGAGGAGTGACAAATCAGTGAAACCAGACCTTCAGTTTGCCATTCTCCAGAGAGGTTTAGACAGGATAAATATAACTCAGAAATCCCAGCTAAGCAAGAGCTGCTCCTCAGCCAAACAATCAATCAGAGGCAACTTAAGTGAAAGTAGAAAGTAAATCGAGAGTTGCTGGTTAATGGCATGAGGGTTTCTTGATGGATTAAATTTCTTAAGACAGATATTAGTGGGTGCAATTATTATAATCCATTAATCTTTTGATCTCTTAAAATTTATGAGAATTGTGATAGGGATGTAAAATAGCTTTTGACAATATACTTAAATTATTTATCTTGAAGGCAAATAAATCCTGACATTTGAGAAGATGAAACAAGTAATGATTGACATTTTTTAGTTGGAATAATTGGATATTTAATTGGTTAATTAATTGTCTCAGTTAACAATTTCCCTTTCTTGTAATCAGTGCTTGAGAAAAATGAACTACAGTTGCCGAGAATATACTCTCCTCCTGGGAAATATAAATGATCACAGATAACAATGGGGTAAAATCCCTTATTAAAAGTGAAATGAGAAAGATTACAGTTGTTGTATTAAACTCCCCTGTTGTTGACATTCCTCTACATTGTTTGGGGGGGGACTTTGATTTGACGCATTAACCTATGGGCTGTCCCTGCGAGTAGGGGGGGGGTGGGTAGGTAAACAAGATGGCGACAACCTGAGAAGCAAGAGTAACACGAAGAGTCAGGGGAAACAATATATCACTGAGATTTTGTCAGACTAAAGTTAAATAATTTATTCATTGGGGACGGACTCACAACAGAGGACAAACCTTGCAGCGAAAAGGAGGTTCATTTGGATCTAGGTGAGACCCAGTACCGGGAGTTAGTTAGCTTGTTAACCAGCTAGCTCGCTATTTACATTGGCATCCAACGCAACTCCGGTTAGCTTGCGTTAGCTGAATTTATCTGGTGCGTTTCTTCTGAGTGTAGAAGATGTTGAAGATGGTGTCTCTGTTGTCGGCTAAGCGTAATGCTTTGTCTTTAGAGAACAATGTGTGTCCCCATTATTGCCTCCGCTTCCACCGGTAAAGGAGGTGAAGTTGGCTAACGCTAAATACAAACGTCAGGCAAAGTTGGCTAGCTAGTACTGGAGGTGCACACAGCCACCGTTAGCTCCAGTTGGATGACGACGTTTCGGTTACCCCCTCACCTACCAGCTGTTCTCTGTCAGTTCACTGTCAAATTAAATTGCTATCTGTTCTTTTTAAGCATGTCTCTGAGATGAAACCTACTGTACTTGCTGAATGTGTGCTTACCGACGGACCGCAAAGTGGCATTTCAGGCTAGTTCATTCAAGCAGACTTGCTGCACTAGCTTACCAGCTAGCCAACAGTTGACACTTAAAATGTTTATTCCGGCTTAAGAACTTGTAAACTACAATCCTTACATATATATGAGGTTATGTTTGCATATAGAAAGAATAACCTGGTGACTTTTGTTTTGTTTTTTGACCACGGGATTTCAAGGTGGTTAGGTGTTGATGTGTTGTCGATTGTTTACCAAAGATGGCCAACTTATGCTTATGTTTCTATTAATGTTTAAATTACTCATATTTTCAGGCACCGGGCAGTAAAAACCGCGGTGACATGGAGGACACCTGAGGACAGTCCAACACATTGGACATTGGAGTCGATCTCCAGGAGCCCCACTGATAGCAGAGATTGGACTGATACTGCTGCATGCTCTGGCTGTAGATCTGTGCTTGGATCCAATCCAGCTATAAACACTTATGTACCCTGAGAAAACTCTGATATCCAGCATGGACCCTTGACAGAAATGCCGTGCTGCGTGGCCTTGAATCAAGACTGGTTGCCTCTGCTTAAGACTGTATGGTATTAATTCTGAGGTGATTGGTGAAAGAGAAGAAAAACGTTGTAGTATCGCTTTTTTTTCCAGTTTTCTGTTCAACCGCACTTGTTGTAGATGTAGTTAAAATGCACAGTATAAAGCACTAACTCTGTACTGGACTCCAAGGGTTTTTTGCCCCTTTTTGCCCCTCTTGAGTGAAAAAGTTTACAAATTGGGCCTGATCACCCACCTCCTCCCCTTAACTCTCAGGCCTGATTACTCCCTCTCCAATGTTCAGTATTTTGTAACTCATCCTGCAGAATTAAAATACTCACCTCCGTGCTGAAAGGTTACCAGTGGGTTACTTCACAGCAGCAAACAGTTTCCTTCCCTGGAAGTACAAGCTGTCAATCATGAGTGCCAGCGAGTTGCCTCACCTGTCTGACTATCTAAATGAAAATGAACTGATGGAGATGGATACTTTTATTCACCGCATTGACTCTACAGAGGTGATCTACCAGCCTCGGAGGAAGAGGGCAAAGCTGATAGGAAAGTACTTGATGGGGGATCTACTCGGGGAAGGATCTTATGGCAAGGTGAAAGAAATGCTGGACTCAGAGACTCTTTGTCGTAGGGCTGTCAAGATACTGAAGAAGAAGAAGCTTAGGAGGATTCCCAATGGAGAAGCCAATGTGAAAAAGTGAGTGTTTCCCAATTTGTGTTTTATCTTGTTTCACACATGCCTCTTGAAAGGTCTTGTTAGTTGGTTGTACTAGGTAAAACTAGGTGGCATGCCTGCAGTGTATGATCAAAATATAATTAATTTTAGTCACTACACAGAAAATTAATTTAGCCTGCCAACAGTAAAAATCAGTTTCTTATGAGTTTTAATGTGTGCCATAGCCTTTAAAAAAATGCAGCTCCCTTTCCGAAACGTGTACAACTCCTAATTTGTATTTTTAAAATGAAAAACCTGATACTGTACTTGAAACCTACCGATCATAACTGATAAGGGAAAAAGGCAGACACAAAGCCTTAGTTTCAATCCAAACACCAGAATACTGTAATATGTTTGAGACATTTAATTTCAATACACAGTTATTTTTCTCACTTAACAAAGCCAAACCTGTCCAGCAATTGACATAGCAAAGATAATTTTACATAGTCAGCATCACTCTTGAATCCTGAGAGTGAGGTTGTGCTTGTGCAGCCATTAAAATGTAAGAGTCGTTGATCATTGCGGTGGGTAATCCATCTGTCATTTATATGAACAAAGTCAATAATAGTAGAATTATATCGGTAATATCAATAGCATTTGTGTCGCTGCACTAATGGTACCTCCCAGTCAAAGCTGGCTCGCACACACATATGCCAAACACCATCCGTAGATGCAAGGCCAACTTGCAGATCTGGCCTAAATGATGACTTTCTACACCTAGCCATAAAAAAGAGAAGAGTGATTTATTAGCGATGCACAAATGTGTGGATCTGTTTTTATCTAATAGGGGGGAAAAAACTGCAGGAAATGGTTGTGTATTTTTGCTAAAATGTGAAGGAGACAGCGAAAGGCTGCATGAGGATGCTGCATTCAGCGATTTTTAGATGCACATCAATAGGTCATTGTCAGCTTTTTGCAGTAGTCACATAAACATGAAACCTGATTACTTTCATCAACGTACTCTGTTAATGCTTAGTTTTTTGTTCGCAATCCCCCCTGTGATGGGGAAAAAAACCGGTGTCTTCAGCTCAGATCTTCACTTATCCATTTGATAAAGCGGTTATTTAATTCCAGTGCATCTACACAACATGCACAGAGGAAAAAAAATATGTCATCAAATATTACTTATACAAACCAGTAACGTGTTTTGTTTTTGTTTGTGAGTAGTAGATGGATTTCTAGTAACTGTGTAATTGTTTTCTGTTCTTGGGGCTCTGTTTCCTTTGTCTCACTGCCTCTGTGATTTAGCTGTCATGTCTGTGTGTTCTTTTTTTCTTTTCTTTCTTTTTTTGCATCCCACATTTCTTGATGAGCATCGGTAGTTTTAATCACAGCAGTATTATTAAATATCACTCCAGCCTTTCGCCTTGGGCCTGTGCTAATTATAGAGTAAGCCTTAGAAAACTGTCAGAGCAAGTTCACCCAGACAGAAAGAAGCTGCAAGATAATGTGGGGGTTTTTTTGTTTGTTTGTTTGGGGGGGTTTTTAGGCCACAGTCACAACAGCAGCAGAGCAATGAAAAGCCCGTAAGCTCAGTTAGAATCATTTTGTTGGTATTGCAATGGCGTGTTTTATCTAACTTAAACAAATTTTGTCCTAGAAAACTGTGCTTTATAATCTAAAGCTGTATTTTAGTTTGCTGGGAATAAAAGAGCCTTGCAGCAGCTGTAGTCTCAGCTGTTAGTATCTTCACTGGCTCTGTTCACCCATAGTGCTGCCTTTGCACTAAGATGCAGTTTGAGAATGCAGTCGGCTCAATTCACCATTTATCACTGTTCACCTCAATGTTGTTAATACTTATTTATTTCTGCTCGATTTTTATTTATTATTTTGCACTGTTGAGTCTTTGATGATATGATTGGGAATATTTAACAACACCACTAAGACAAAGTCTGTTTTAATGTCAGCAGAGAACCAGAAAACAATAAATTAGCATTCCCTACCCCATTACTGGCTCTGGGGTGTAGTGTTGGTAATTAGCACTTGTGACTTGTAATCAAAGTACAACAAATTAAATACACCTACAAATGCAAAGTCCAGTTACTGGTGTTGATTTTCTGGAGGAAGAAAATCATTATAAAAAAGTATTTTGTGCAAATCTTCAGTGTTACGTAAAAGTCCCGATAAGGAAAATGTTACAAGAGCGTTTTTAGAGTTTCAGTATCTCACTAGGGTAAGTCCTTGTGTAAAGGTCACTAAGTCAATGATGGCTGGGGGAAAAAACAAAACAAAACACACAAGCTGACCAGAAGTGATGGTAGAGGTTAAAATGAAAATGCAAAATTTGAAATCCTTAGAAAACCAACTGTTGGCAAAATAAATGTAACTTGTGAGACATTTATTTTCTATTAAGACACTGACTCATTTTCCTTTTTTAAGTTTTATTTTTGAGTGGTCACGTCCAGGCCTGAGTCCAGTCCCAAGTCTGTAGCCTGTCTCCCCTGATAAACTTTGAAAAGTTTGTTCAAAGCAGAATGGTGAAAACCGGTTTGTCCACATGTGCAAATCTTATAAAAATAGATACACAGTCAGTACTTTGTAACATCTTCTCAGGCTAGTATTACAACTTAAAGGGTTTTGGGTTTTTTTTGTTTGTTTGTTTGAGTGTTTAGAATGCTGTTAGAGAGAGTTTTGCAAAATTTTCCTGCAAAAGGCTTCCAGTTATGTGAGATTTATGAGCTTTCTTGCATGCAGAGTTCGTTTAATATCCATGCTTGTTTTGTTTTGGGGGGTTTGTTTTTGTTTTGGGGGGTTTGTTTTTTTTATATCGGGCATCTGTGAGCACCATGTCCAAACCTTAATCTTGCAGTTCCTGTTGTAATCCACGGTGTATTTTAAGGTCTCCCTTATTCATCTTCAGCTGCCTTATACATGGTGTGTTGTTTCCTTCTAGAAGTTTGGCGGTATTTCATAGAATTCATTGTTTTTTTTTTTTATTGCCAGAAAAATCTTCTCCATGGCCATCGTCTGCCACCAAACTAAGCAGTGGGTGAAGGGTTCGTGTCACAAAAATGTTCAGCGCTTTTCCTCCACATGTACCTTTTGCCCTTTGCACTACAAACGGTCTGGTTTAACTTCATCAGTTCACAGGACTTGTTTCCAAAATACATCAGGCTTGTTTATTTCATTTTCAAACTTCTGCTGAGTTTCATGTTGAGGTCACAGGAAATGTTTTTCTTTTTTTTTTTTTATTGACTCTTCCATGAAGGTCACATTTGTTCAAGTACACCACTACTTTATCTAGGTTTTCTGAAGGTCTAATGCAGCTTTTGCTAGCCTAACTAGCAATCCTACAATAAGTTGTTTTTTAGCGTTTTCTTGGTCTTTCAGATCTTTCCTCTTTCTGAGGTGTTTGTTTTGTGACCATGCAGACTTGTCAGCTGGGAATTTTCATTACAAATCACAGACTAAATGGTAAATGGCCTGTATTTGTATAGCGCTTTACTAGTCCCTAAGGACCCCAAAGCGCTTTACACATCCAGTCATCCACACACACATTCACACACTGGTGCAGCCACATTGTAGCCACAGCCACCCTGGGGCGCACTGACAGAGGCGAGGCTGCCGGACACTGGCGGCACCGGGCCCTCTGACCACCACCAGTAGGCAACAGGTGAAGTGTCTTGCCCAAGGACACAACGTCCAAGCCGGGGCTCGAACTGGCAACCTTCCGATTACAAGGCGGACTCCCAACTCTTGAGCCACGAGCACCCCAAGCAGTGGACTTAAAGGAAACTTAAAAAGAAGTATGAGCCACCAGCCGTCAGGTCTTCAGCTGTCTGTGTCCGGAATAGAGTATATTCTGGACCTAAATGTGAACAAGTAATACCCCTGGAATGCTAATTAAGCTCATAGACCCTGGTAAAAGTTATCCAAGAGCTAAGATCTGTTAAAATGCCTAAACTCTTGCACCACATTCTTTTTTAGATAAATAGTTAGATCCTTTATTAATTATTTGCAGGAAATTACACAGCAGCTTCTACACAAACCTAAGACTATACATCCAACAGCTAAACGATGTGAATTCCTTATAAAGGGTTTGTAGTTACGCAGTTTGGTTCACACAGAATTTTTTTCTGTGTGTGAAATCAAACCACAAGGAAAAGCTACAGTTTACAAGCATCAACTGTTTGAGACCAGAGTAAACAAGCTATAGGTGTGAAAACACCCTTAATGACATGTGAGGGGACCATTGCAGGTCTGTAGTCATTGTGGTTGGTGAGATGACTTTTTGGAACGGGAACCAAGCAAGGCATTTTCCGCAGCCTTGAGAGCTTCAGATTGAACAGGTGTGTTAGAATATCACACAGCTTCACGAAGCAGGTCTTCATCAGCCTCAACTGCTTTCTTTGCATGCTGGTGTATCTTTTCCTGAGTTACAATGTAGCTCATCTAAAGCCAGTTCTCACTTTCTTATTTTAGATTTCTTTGGTTATATTTATAGGCTGCAATAGTACATGGTTCTGTCACTTTGTTAATGGGGCCATAGCAGTGTCTCTTGATGTGTGAAATTGTTTTCCCTTTGCTTTTTTTCCCCCTTGTACTTTTTCGTCTTGTACACCCCTCCCACTTGGTGTTTGCCTTACGTTTTCCAGCCTGAGGAAGCTGTATTCCCGAGCCTGTGAATGCCTGTCTGTGCTTGGGTGTCATAGTAGCCCCCAGCCTCTCTATTCAGCCACTGTTGAGCATTCCTGTGTGCCTAACACTTCCTGCTTTTAAAGTGTTGCTATAGGGACAAGCATGCTTATGCTTGCTTTGATTGAGCAATGCTACTTCTGTTCCTATGGTAACACGCCAAGAATGCCCTTCCCACATTTGGAATGACAGGCTCTCACACACACACACACACACACACACACACACACACACACACACACGGGTACGCACAGTGGAGATGCAGATTTTGATCAGCTGTTTATGTTGGTGCTGTGTGCCTGAGTCACTGCCATATCACTAAGCTCTGCGGATTGCAGGCCTCGAATGCACGAGGTCCATCGGTGCACATTTGAACTCAGACTGTGGATGGACTGCAGCAGTCAGTGTGCCTTAAGCAACAGCCCTGCCTCCATTTCATGATTCACTTTTTATGGAAATGAGCTCTGTTATTAATGCACTGTGATTTCCTACAGTTCACACATCTGTACATCATTTAGTAGCCAGTTTCAGACTCGATATTTTAATGTTGCTCTGTTCTACATGTGGGTGAGCTTTTTAGTCTTTCTGCCAGTGCAGTGATGCAGCAGTAACCGCTTGTGTGTCTGTGTGTGAAAGCGAGAGGCTGACTAGCCCCTGAATATCCATTTGTCAGTAGGGGGGGTTGTGTTTAAGACGAAGGACTGACGCAGCTCATACACTGCAGGGTGACGACGGCCAGAAAAGCTCTGAAGTGTGTATTTTGTGAGAGCACAGATGATGTCTCAGCTCGAAAGGGAATGAAGAGTGTTATTTATTTTAGGCAGCCCTCCTTTATGGCTTTGACTTGTTATTGTGTGATGTAGTATCAAGAGAAGCAGGCGGAGAATCTTATTCAACAATCAAAAAAATGTTGTTGTTGGGGTTTTTTTACCCTGTTTACCTCTACTGCATTATGTAACATAAATGGCAGTTAAACCGGTCTTCACTATATATGAAAAAATATTACAGAGAAGTAAGCAGCATTTCATTCATAGTTATGCTAACTGCTTTGAATTATAACCAATACAAGTTGTCTTGTTATGAGTGCAAATAATATATCGTGATGCTCAGCGAAATGTGCAAAAATACAAAATGATACTTGATTTTAGATTCCTTCCTGTAATTGTAAAGCAAGCCCTCAATATTTCCTGTGGGAGCATCTGGATATTACCCCTGGAAAGTCTGTGGTTTGTGCTTTTTTTTTTTTTTTTCCCCCCCTCTTACGATCCAGATTCATTAGCGTTCCCTTTCATGGCTCGCTGATTAATGTTCAGTCTCCAGGGGTTTTGCCATGCCGGTGATTTGAACATCTCCTCTTTGGGCAGCAAAGTAAACTGTCAGGTTATCTGTCTTTATAGTAAGAATGGAGTTGCTACTGCTGCACTGTTTTTGGTGGGTGCATATTTGTTAGGGTCTCATTAACAAACAATCAAACAGTATGACACATGTCAGAATTTAACAATCCATTGTTTAGCAGGCACTAATAGTTTAGAAATTATAGAAATTTTCATTATTTTTATTATTCATCTTATTCATAATCCCAGTTACATAGTCATAGCTACAAAGAAAAATGTGCCACTGTCCAAAAAAAGCCTAACTGTATCTGCTCTGCTGCTGGTGCTTTAGCCTATACTGAGCATTGTAAATGTCAGGGCTTTAGCCGCTCTGCTGGGCAAACTGTGATGACAGCAACTCTATATTTCACCAAGTATCCTTTTCTGCATGGTGTTCTGTTAAAGTTAGTAGCAGCAAATGTCAGACAGCACTGTTACCCATGGCCATCAGAAGCCAGTTTCAGCTGATAACATGGTGTCCTTGCAACTCTGCTCATCCTCTTCTATTAGTCGGTCTTAAATGTGTTTTCTCTTAATTCAATGTTTTTCATTAAGAACTAAATCACATGATGAATTTAAATTTGACTGTCTGTATAGAGTAAATCATAAACCTGTTACGCATTATGTAGTGAAACAACTAGATTTTTCACCAGTTCTCACATTGTTTAGCAGGTTATTAGAAAGTAATGAAACTAATAATACAGTTGTGGCCATGCTGTACAGTCACTCACTGAAGCCAGTGTGCAGATGTATGGTACCCAGCCTTTAACCTACATTATGCAGCTAACATGGCCCAGTAGAAAATGATACTAATAGAAAATTTCTCTCATTAAGTAAGCAAGTGGATACATTTTCATGTCTTTTCTCTGTATGTTCATTTATAGGGAGATTCAGCTGCTAAGAAGACTCCAACACAAGAATGTGATTCAGTTGGTGGACGTTCTTTACAATGAAGAGAAGCAGAAAATATATCTTTTACCTACTGAATAAGCATATGTTGATTTTTGACATTAATTATTATAGACGGTCTATTTTACAGTTGGTTATTTCTGTACCCAAGTTCTATTTATGTTCTGCACTTTTCCCGATTTTATAGTTGGTTCATAATTGTAAAAAATGTGTTTGTTTGGTTTGGTAAATTCTCTTGACTCCTGACTTACGTATATGGTGATGGAGTATTGCGTTTGTGGGATGCAAGAAATGCTGGATAGCGTCCCAGAGAAAAGGTTTCCAGTATTTCAAGCTCACGGGTAAGTCTTCCTCTTACTTCTCCTCTCTGCTTCCTCTATCCCTGAGTCTCTCTGCTATATTTAGTCTGAGCCTCTCTGCAGCCGCTGCTCCAAACCTAAGTTTAGATCGGAGACTTCAGGGCCTCTACCGTTAAAATTGCTGACCGTAGACTGTGTGAATGTCGGGTCACTGCTGGAAAGCCGCTGAAGCAAAATGTGATGCAGCTTTATCTAACCACAGAAATAATAAGTTTCTTCTACTGTGATTGACTTTGGCTGGTTTTAAATGTGTCCATAAATTCCCTCTGGTTGATGCTTCTTGTAGGTACTTTTGCCAACTCTTAGATGGCCTTGAATATTTGCACAGCCAGGGAATAGTTCACAAAGACATTAAACCAGGGAATCTGCTGCTGACCACAGATGGCTCGCTTAAAATCTCCGACCTGGGAGTAGCAGAGGTAAGCATCGCCTGCCAGAGTTCCGTAAACTCTCTGAATTCTTACTCTTGATTAGAAGAAAAGGGCTGGCATTTCTTTGTATAGACTTTGTGTATGACTTTAATTCCTTGTGCTTGTGTTTGTTCCTTATGTTGGTGCTTTAAAGGTGTTAAGTTTATAATTATTTGCATTGAAATGCATACAGGAACAAAAAATAATCTATTTCTTACTTGCTGTTTTTCCTCAGGCCCTTCACCCATTTGCAGAGGATGACACGTGTCGTACTAGTCAGGGCTCTCCAGCCTTTCAGCCTCCAGAAATTGCCAATGGACTAGACACCTTTTCAGGGTTTAAAGTGGACATTTGGTCTGCTGGAGTAACACTGTGAGCGGCACTCTGCGTACTTGTCATGCATTTATCCACATAAAGCTCTAAATTCTGTCCTTGACTCTTTCTGACTCTTGCTTCCTTTCAATCAGATATAACATTACAACAAGTCTGTATCCATTTGAGGGGGACAACATCTATAAGCTATTTGAGAACATTGGAAAAGGAGAGTACACTATTCCTGAGGAGTGTGGACCTCTCCTGTCGGACCTGCTGCGAGGTTGGTGTTGTTCGAAGCCAAAGTGTTTATATTTTCTGCATGAATTTTGGCATTTTGTTTTGCCAATTCAGTGGTCTGTCGCCTCCTTTGCAAATGCTGAACAGCACCTGAGAGTGGTGTTTCATTCCCTGTGTGCACACAGATTTAAAGTGAAAAGTCAGCATTGAGTGTTTGTTGGACTGGAAATATTACCATATTCACAGCTATTGATAGGTGTTCTTAGTATTTTAGAGGTGTCAATATACAGTGCCTATCAAAAAGAATAATTGATTTCGAGGTGCTTTAATTCTGCAGCTTTTCACCGGTAACAATCGAAACATGTACTGTTAGAAAGATTTGGGTTTGTAAGTTTCACCTGTTCACCTGCAGGTAGCATAACAGCAACAGTGGCTGCAGTGACTCCAATATGCTTGCAAAAGTATGGGATGAATTTGACCATCATATGTATATGTGCCGAGTGCACGGGAAGCTTCTATGTACATGTACTTCAAAAAATATATATATATAGATATATATAGATAGATATAGATAATAATAATGGATTGGATTTATATAGCGCTTTTCAAGGCACTCAAAGCGCTTTACAATACCACTATTCATTCACTCTCACATTCACACACTGGTGGAGGCAGCTACAGTTGTAGCCAGAGATGCCCTGGGGCAGACTGACAGAAGCGAGGCTGCCATATCGCGCCATCGGCCCCTCTGGCCAACACTAGTAGGCGGTAGGGTAAAGTGTCTTGCCCAAGGACACAACGACCGGGACAGATAGCCCAGGGATCGAATCGGCGACCTTCCGGTTACAGATGCGGTTAGAGATATAGATATAGATATATACCGGTAGATATAATTGGAGGAAAAAAAAAACCTTTTTGATGTACCTTGTTTACTGATTCATATGAAGACCCTCTTATTCTCAATCTGTGGCTTTACGATGAAGTGGTTAACACATGAAAGATCCCTTATTTGAGCTCAAAAGGAGACGCAGACCAGTGTACTCTCTGTGCCAGACCCAAGCCCGGATAAATAGGATTGCTTTAGGAAGAGCATCCAGTGTAAAAACGGTGCCAAATCCAGTGCATGGATCCAACCATTTTTGACCATTTGAGACATGTAGGAGGAGCTGCGAAGTAAAGATACAAAACTGGCTGTTACTTGTGACACATTAAGTTTGCTATAGATGTTTATTTAAAATCTCAGATGGTGTGCCCCCTTCTAAAATTAAAATTACTTGCAGCTGTTGAACGTCATCACAAAACTAACCACCTAGCAGTCAGGTGTTTTGCTGTAACCGCTGTCCACTGAGGACGGTACACCAGATGGTTTGCAAGATGAGGCATGCATCAGGTTTATATATTATTTTGTTTCTTAGGTTGCTTCCCTCCTTATCCAAAACTACAGTGTTTGTTTTCTATACATTATCCTAGATTTAGCTCAATTTTCATGAAATGCAAAATGAGTCACACTTAAAAAAAACTGACATTTATTTTCAGTCCTTTATGCCTGTCAGTCTTTAGGTGTAGGCTGAAATAAAAGGCAGTGGATTTACAGTTTAGGGCACAATGAATCCATTAAAGATCATAGCGTTAACAGTAGATGTTTTTGTCATGCTTATTAATCATATCTGAAAACATCCTCTAGACTGCTAGGATTGGTGAACAGGAGAATATAGGATAGAAAAACCAGCAGTCTAGTGGGTAATAAATCACTCAAATGTCAAGCAGTTTCACTGTGATCTTTTCTGTGTGCACCCAGTAGGTGGTGCTGTGACACTGGAAGTCACTGTGGCTTCTCAGCATGCCAGGCTTCCACCAAACTGTAGAAATCCCTCCAGCTGTTGACGTAGTTTCCATTGATCTGGAGCCAGCAGCAGAATACTAAGCACTTCACAGTCGGGCATTGTTTTTCCCAAGTGAAATACTGCAATGCTTTTGCCCCTTGTTTAAAAAACAAAAAACAAAAAAGGCAAGAGTCCTTCAGTTAAAAACAAATAAATTTAAAAAAAAAAAGAAGAAGAAAGAAAGGAGGAGGAAAAAAACAAGGAACAGAAAAAGAATCTATTACAAGATCCCAAACCCACTGCCTATAAAATCCAAGAACAATGTTGGGAAGATTATGTTTGTACTAACTAATGAAATCCTTCAATGAAGGCTGAAAGCTAAGTTGTATTTCAGCATATTATCCAGCTTTGCTCTCTTTGTCCTTTTATGGAAAAAAGCGCCAGGTATAAGTGCTGGGGCTTACACCTGTAAAATGATTCTGGGTCAAATGGAGGCGATTTAAACATTTTTTTTTTCTGTCAAAAGGAATCAAATGTTTAACAATAAAGAGAAAAAAGAACTCCCTGATTTGTTTCTTCTGAAAAACATACTGGGCTTCAGTCCCCCGTCATCGGTATGACGTCTGTGTGTGTGATGGCGCAGCACCTGAGAAATAGTCGGTCCATAATTACATCGCCTAAAATAAGCCACAAAAAGGTGTCTTTCAGCCAGCGCAGCACTACTATCAGCACCCTGCATACTCCTGTTTTCTGCCTACTAGGAAACAATTACATTAGTAGGAGAGG